CAGTGCCCAGCCTGGAGGTGTTAGATGGTGTTTTTTCTATAGTGGTTCTCCAGATTTTTATTTGAGGGCTTACCTTTTAATTAATGGAGTGGTGTGGTCACATGGAATATGGACCAATGATTCAAGAGCAGGACGAAAAGTCAAAGGCTCTGACCACTTATATTGTCTTGTGGGACTGCGATAGGAATTTCTGCTATCTGTAACGACAAATGATTTCCACGCACTGTCTTTCATGGCATGTCATGATGCTCACAGCTAAAAATGTGAAATCAGGTGATGGATTTATATATAAAGGGTTCAAATGAGTAGTCATTTTACACTTCAATGAAATTAATACAACAGAGTAGCTACATCTGTTAATTCACCCATGGGTTCATCTGTCTGAGCTAATATCCAACACTTACAAGCTATGATTTCTGATCACCTCAATATTTCATTTTCAAATGGCATATAAGGTCAAGGACCCCTTCAATTACCGTCCCTTTGATGTTTCTACCTATTGTTCTAAAGATGTATGCATTCAGGGAACACCCCGATCAATTATGGAACAAGAGTTAACCCTTTCAAAACTATAGACCATAATGAACTTATCCAGATCAATGCATGGTATACTAGTAGTTTATTAAAGTTACATAGGGGTGAAAGGGTCAATTATGAAATTGCATCACATCACCAAAAACATATTTTTTTTCCGAAATCAAAACATACTTGCATGTTCATTTGATGAAATTATATGATGAATCCAGCCACACATTATATGGTTCTGCAAACAGGATTTTGTTGTTATTTTCGAGGCCAACTTGATCAAAAGGCTGTTTGTGAGTTCATATTGATGGAGGAATTGAAGGACTGGTTTCCAGAACAAGCTAATCGTCTGTGGGAGAGCACAGTCCGCCATGTCCAAGTCTGTACAAATAACAATGCAGATAATTACAGTATCACGTATTACAATATAAGATCTACAGAACAAGCTAATCGTCTGTGGGAGAGCACAGTCCGCCATGTCCAAGTCTGTACAAATAACAATACAGATAATTACAGTATCACGTATTACAGTATAAGATCTACAGAACAGCAACAGCAAGTTGAGGAACAGATTTCTGCAAATATTTCCTTTTATCAACAAAATACTTGTATAAACTTTTTCATGATGTACCTGTAAATATCTTTTACATTTATTTCTGAAAATAAGGTACTGAAGGGGGATAATGGTGATTATCCAACTTTGGTGATTGTCCAAGCTCTCATGGTAATTAATTTTCCAATGAAGTTTGAAGCTAATCTGTTAAAAAATACTCGAGATATTGAGCAGACACCATTTCAGCAATTGAATAAAAGGACATAACTCAATTAGTCAGACAAGAGTGGTTATCCAACTCAGAACTTTTATGGTAATGACCTTCCCATGGAGTTTGAAGTTGATCCATGGAAAGTAATTTTTGGTATAAAGCGAACACTGTTTCAGCAATTGAATAAAGAGGCCCAACTCCCTAAAAGACTGTGAGATAATGGTGGGTACCAAACTAGTCCGAGCTTCCATGCTAATTAACCTTCCCATGAAGTTTTAAGTTTATCTGTCACTCATGATATAGAGGGGACACTGTTTCAGCAAATGAACGGCATAACTTAGTAAATTAGTCGGATAATGGTGGTTATAAAATCATCCGAGCTCTTATTGCTATTAACCTTCCTTTTTGAAGTTTGAAGTTAATCCATTGAAAATTACTTAGATCCATATCGAGTGGGCACTGTTTGCAACCTGCCCATCGCTCATGTGATAACATAATAAGTAATTTTGCGAAGGTGTTGGGATTCTGTCATAATTTTAATTGAAGTCACTCAATTTGCAATTGCTAAACAGTGACTTTATCCAAATAAAATGCATATCAAAATAGACTGCCACAGGATAGAGGTGATTTAATGTTAGAGTGGTTGATGAAATGGCCTTTGTTTGCAATTTCAATCTTCACCTGTATTTATCAGATTCTACTTACTGGACGAGTCAATCCTTAAGGCTAGCAGCTGTTCTTGGGTAGGAATTATAAAGCCGTCGTCTACCAGACAGGTCACTAACTCTTCTCTACACAATCAAACATAACCAGTGATACATCTTACAGAACAGTATGTGACACAGAGGTTTCCAATATCATAACATACACGTCAATAACTCAATGACAAACATTTGACAGCCTGAGAGGGATGACACTTCAGAGCTTTGAGGATGATATACAGTACTAAGGCAGGAGTCAATACAAAATTATCACAACATATTTGATTTTTGTTTTATCACAAATGTCTGAGGACATGATTTACACTATCACACATTTTTTGAAAATGAAACCACTCATAATCAATGGATGAAAAAACATCATTTTCAGGATTACTTAGTGCATGTTAAATACTACAGACATTCCAAACACTCATTACATTCCAAGTAGCTTTAGTGAAGCAGAAGACCTCCGGACATATAACCCATCCATTTTCTTTAGAAACTTTTCCTAGTCCTTAACTATTTTATTGTAACAAACATTAGCACTAACACATAATACCTACCCATTTTCAAAGTGAACTCTTTCCAAGTCCTGTAGAATTTTACCAGATTTGTCTTTGTTTTTTTTCCCACTTATTTCCTAAAACAAAAAGCCAATTTATGTTCGCATATAATATCTCAATGTCAGGCATTATTTTGTGTCATATTACATACACCAATGTGGTAACAATGAAAAGTAACTCATTGGAGGTCATACCATTTGGTGGTTAATAAGATGTATCAGGAATACGATAAATCCTCTTTATCAAGGCCCTCATTTTATTAGCCAACTTACCACCAATATAAACCAAGGTTTTTCTGTCCATTTTCCTCAACAGTTCCTTTATACATGTCCCTCAATGCATCGCCAAACACTTTTATTTTAATACGATTACTGAACAAACATGGCAGCACAGTATAGTACTGTTTACTGTACTTGGTACACATCAACCAGTATGGCTTTGTTAACATATTTTATCATCAGCTATTCATGGCTATTTGGGGAACAGTCAAAACTACCATTCCTCGGTAGGGGGAACCCTGTGGAACTGTTTGCTCTCGGCCTAGCGGCCTCTGGCAAACAGTTCCCCAGGGCTTCTCCATACCTCGGGATGATAGTTTTGACTGTTCCCCAAATAGCCATAAAACAATTGTATAATGTAATAGGACCAGCTCGGTAACTTTGACAATGTTTGGTATAATAGGACCAGCTGGGTAACATTGACAATGTTCTGTGTAATAGGACCAGCTGGGTAACATTAACAATGTTCGGTGTAATAGGACCAGCTGGTTAACATTGACAATGTTCGGTGTAATAGGACCAGCTGGGGAACATTGACAATGTTCGGTGTAATAGGACCAGCTGGTTAACATTGACAATGTTCGGTGTAATAGGACCAGCTGGATAACATTGACAATGTTCGGTGTAATAGGGCCAGCTGGGTAACATTAACAATGTTCGGTGTAATAGGACCAGCTGGTTAACATTGACAATGTTCGGTGTAATAGGACCAGCGGGGTAACATTGACAATGTTCGGTGTAATAGGACCAGCTGGGTAACATTGACAATGTTCGGTGTAATAGGACCATAGAAATATAGATATAATGTTCAAGCATAGATGTTAACAACTTCTAACTTAATTTTTAAACAAGAACGAGAGATATTTGTGTAAAGCATTAAAATAGGTTAAAAAAATCTTTTTTTAAGAATGGAATATTGAAATAAGATATCAAAAGTAGTACTTCATTGAATATCTGTGACCGAGACATAAATACTCTACAACAATGGTTTTGATCATCCACATTGATGTGTCCAGACATCAAAAGTAGTACTTCATTGAATATCTGTGACAGAGACATAAACTACTCTAGAACAATGGTTTTGATCATCCACATTGATATGTCCAGACATCAAAAGTAGTACTTCATTGAATATCTGTGACCGAGACATAAACAACTCTAGAACAATGGTTTAGATCATCCACATTGATGTGTCCAGATATCAAAAGTAGTACTTCATTGAATATCTGTGACAGAGACATAAACTACTCACGAACGTTGGTTTTGATCATCCACATTGATGTGTCCAGATATCAAAAGTAGTTCTAATCATTTCTTACCTGATGTTTTTCCTTAATTGCTTCATCACTAATAAATCTATGGTACAAAAATTCTATTAAAAAGGCACATAATGAAAGTATTGATTAAAATTCTCATAGATTCTTAAAAATAGAGACATTGAGACGGCTACTAGTACAATACTACAATGTATGAAGTAGGTAGGTTCCTTACCTGAAACTTCTGTTGCTGATATTTCTCCACGATTTCACGTACATCCAATGTTTGAGCGACTTGGCTTGTCTTTAGATCAATTTTTTGGGCCATGGAATTCAATTGCTCTTTCCAAAATTCTGTCTGATAAAAAATATTGCAGAAATTATAGATTTTCAAAGCTGAATTCTTTATCTATTTCAGAAATGAATTTTAACCATTTAAAAATCAATGTAAAACAAATTTTCCTTTGATACCTTGCATTATATATATATGTTTCTGTTAATTAATCAGAGGACAAGGTGCATGTTAACAGTTACAATGAGTCAGAATATTTTCAATCACAGCCGATATACCGAGTTACCTCCAATCAGGAGAGAGCCTTATAATCACGATCTTACATATGAGTTACCTTGAGCCAAGACAGTGCCCAATCACATGCTGTCATAAGCATGGGAAGAGGAGGTAGCTGTCGGTGGGTGGCGTCATGACGTAGATCCACAATCCACACCGGCACACCAAACTTACAACAGATCAAAGTTTGTTATGTTTAAAAACACCAATCCTTTATGATATACAATGTCATTTAATCTTCAATTTACACTTAAAGGGAGACAACTTATACCGGATGACAACAGGTCATTATTCATTATAATTTGCATATTTTACATTTAGCATCTTTTCTTCCATTTTCCTGAAAGTTACAGAGACAGTTAAGTTGGTCAAGCCCCGGGGGCAGGGGGATGGGGGGGGAGAATATGCTCAGACTTATTTAATTCTGAAATAACTGGACAAAGTCCATCAAGAGTACACTTTAAAGCTATGCTGCACATCAATAAGGCCATGGGCTGACAGGTCAGCTGTACATAATTACCTTGCTAGCCAGTACATGGACAGGCTGGGCATATCCTCCTGACTGGCCCTTCTCTGTAATGTGATTGACAAATCTGAAACAAAATATATATAAACATATATATATATCGGGATAAAAAATCTCAGTTACCCGGTAATTATTTGATCGATACATTTTCAACACTGTGATTGCATGTTGAATTCTATAACTTAACGCTCTTATTTTTGTAAGATAGCATTTATACTTACCAACAGTTAAAAAGGTACATACCTGAAGTGTATTGGGTTGTTGTGTGAGTCATTCCTATTATATAATCCCAACCCACAATACAGATTATTTTTACTAAGTAATGTAAACAAGAATTTTGACATGCACATTGACAATCAAGGTAAACTTCCCATTCCAAGACATATATTTCCTTACTGAACACATCCTTGAACATATCCTATATAGAAATCATCTTTTTATTTCTTTTACTGCAATTTTCTACCTGGATACTGTTAAACCTCATGTAAAAATTGTTGGGAATATGATAAGCCCATCCCCAGCTGTCCTCAGTAATAACTCCATCCCTTTCTTCAAGTTTGTTGGCATCGGTAAAAAAAAATAATTGGTATACAGTTATATATATATAGCTTAAAGAAATAATGTCCCATACTGCAACACATCAAATCAAAATGCCTCCCTCTATGTAGTATGTAGGGCATCTAAAGTGATCAGAAATACAATGAGTTAGTCAAGATATAACCTTAAATTTTTCATCACATAACATTATTTATAAATGGGTTGAGTTTGTGTACCTGATAAGAGCCAGACTGTAGGCAGACCGTATTTCATTATCTTGCTGTCTATCTTGCGTTGATTGGACTGCCTCCTGGTGGTGAAGCTTGGCATGAACAATGGCTGCTGTGCTGTCAATGGCTACAGGAATTTTGTGCAAAGCCCTAGAAAGAAGATAAAGACATGTTCAAATATAAAATTGACATCGGCTAGAAATATCTTATGCAGACACATCTTTAAAAAATCCCTGAAATAGCATTATAATTAAGAACAAAAGTTACAGTGGAACAGATACAGAGATGTTCACAAGAGGAAAAGCAGTATTTTTCTACCTAAATTTCACAGCAGCAGTTACCTACATGAACATGGAAAATGAGGGATATCTTTTTTTTAATTTGGAAGACACTACTCCCCTCTTCTTCAATATGGGAAAATAAGGCACTATTTTGCTTTGTGAAACATCCTATTTCCAGCTGTAAAACAAGGCAAACAAAAATTACTGTAAAGGCAAACACTTGGTAATATAATTGCCAGCAGACATTTTGTTCCTTTAAGTGCATTTAAAAACACATTTTGAATCCTCCCTACTAGAAACTTATTTCTATATACGGTTTGTACTTTGTAGAAACTAATATAGTTGACAACATTTTGACATGGTGCATATTAGTTATTCCATTAGCTTCTGGTGAACTGAAAAACAATCTAACTGTATCACTTGACTCGTTCATTTGTTTTTTTGAGTGTTGCTAACTCAGAGTCTCACCACAGCTGGAGTATGACAACGGATGATTGGGCCACTCAACACCATCTCACTAAAATGTTACAACAGCTGAAGAATGACAACGGATGATGGGGCCACTCAACACCATCTCGCTAAAATGTTACAACTGGAAATGGCACCATGACACCCATGTAGTCATAACTGGCATCCATTTAAAACTGAATGTCTAGAAAAAACATTAGGTACCAATATGAAGGACTTTGATTTGTAATGTTCTGAGGACAGAACCTACCGCCTTCCTCACTTGGGTAAAGTATTAACGTTAAGGACAAAAGCCAGGTCTTGTAAAGGAAGGTGTTGAGAATCAAAAAAGCTAGTTAAGATGTAGATAGATGTGAAGTAAACTAGTAATGGGTGCAAAAGATGTTTTCTGGTTGCTTTTCTGTCCCCAAATCACCCATTTGAATCATGCAGGGGGTAAACAGTAGGTATATGTACCGTTTTTGTGTTCACAAACTTTTATTATTTTGTTCATTTCTGCAAGTTTTTGATAATTTTGAATTATCTCTTTAGGGTTATCTTATTTCCACCAAATGATTTTAAAGACAAATTCTCTTTTTCTATTTTTTTTTTAAGCAAATTATCATTGTCTGACCTTTGTTTTAGTGAACATTTACAGTATTTGTTACTCCCAAATTAAAGGTTACTTTAAAGTTTAAAAATACTGCCAGTATTTTTTCAATAACATTCATCAGTGTGGAAATATTTCTGCATCAAAGTTTTACTTTATACACAAAGTGCATGGCTTTCACTCCAATCTTGAATGTTATAACTTCACATTAGTTTATATTTAGCAGAAACATCTATTACATATAAGTCTCTGCATACACATTTTTAATACACTGTTCAACCAGTGAGTAAAATATTTTACCTGCTTCTCCACACATCAATCCTCCCCACAGCATGTGCCTGTAGCTTTGGATCATTTCCAAACACCTCATTGTATACACACTCAAACTCTTTCCTAAAACAGAAAAAAACGTTGGTTAATAAGTGCTCACTGCAATAACGTACATTTCCTAACAGTAAATTATACAGAGTTCATTTCTCTTATGGAATGAATGAGATCTTATTTCCAAAGTGATTTCCTTTTACTTTGTCTTATTTTGAGCTAATCATATTTCAAAATTAAGTCAATGTTTTGTTTCCATTTTACAGTCTGTTGGTATATAAATTTGAATGTGTCATACAAATTGAGTAAAAGTTAATTGTTCCAAGATCTAGAAAGCTGTTGTTTAATTATAACATATGAGGCATGAACAATTGGTTTTATCTCCATCAAATATTTTTGAATGTTAAAAGGATAGTAATTTCAGCATATTATGTAGTGTATCAATCACTCTATGGAATCTACAACAAGGCAATTGTTTGGATTGATCGAAAACATCACGTATCCAGACTAGCTGAGGACTGATGAACAACACAAGTTTTTGGTGTTCTTTTCTGTTGGCAGTGAAGATATTATATTTCACAGGTTAGCTTCTATGATATTGCTAAAAATATCACTTTTGTATATGGAATTTAGTTCTTTCTGGACTTTTTGAAATAGCCCTGTCACAAATAATTATAAGTGTACTGAGACACATCTACATCTTCAACTGTTTCATCAAAAAGCTGACTGTTATAGTGTTCATGGTACTTCCTCAGACTTCATGCACAGGCATGTGCACTCATTAAATTCTTCTGTCTTCAAATTTGTTTGTCTCCATCGATGTGTTGCACATACCTTCATCAATATTGTTATAAAGTTTATATTCCAAGTGTGTTCATGTCCTGTCAAGTGTCAATGCTATATGCTATTCAGGCTGAAACAGACCTGGGTTTTTTTCACAGCAAGCTATGCATGGAGTCATATACATATATTGCATCAGCAGAGAACGTGATTTGTAACGTGCATTCTTCTTGGCTGATAGACAGACACAGGTAAGAAAACATGGTATCGTGATCATATAAACAAATGTCAACTCAGGGTGAAAATGGGGTCAGCGTTTATTTCCTCTTTCATATTTGACCCCTGGCCGGGCAAAACATAAGGGTGACCTAGACAAAGACTTTCGTACACGGTCTGGTTATAGCTTTTGGACTCAAGTCTGTTTCGTTGCTAAAAGAAAAGTTGCAGTTATTTGATGTAGTTCAATATGGCATTTATGACATTCTTGATACATGTTCATGCAACACATTGTGTTGAACAGGTAGCTAGGGCAGAATGCCGTACATAGGTAATAATCCTACATTTCGGTAACAGTTACTGTATTGCGTAACAATCTTATTATTGAAACTGAGGATAAAGTGAAATAAAAAACAACAACATTTCAGTAATAAAATTCTTACTGTAAACTGTAACTCTTTCCCAAATGCAGGATTATTACCAATATGTGCCATTGTGCCCAACTTGTTGAACAAACAAATTTGAGGACAGTAGAGTAATTTAAGAAATAGAGTAAAATACTAGCCACTCCCTGCTGACTCAGCTAGGGAGAATTTCTCTTTACTGTACTTGTAGCTCATTTGTTAGTTTCTATCAATTTTAATAATTTTAAATGACAACTTAAGTCTTGTTAGTCTTCCATATCATTAAAGTCAATTTTATAAAAAAAAATATATGTGTTTGTGTTATTTTGAAGCGAGTGTCACAAGCGGCAGCTGTGAAAAGCTGACTTCGCACTCACACAGTTGTGTATTTTTCTGCATGAAATATACCTAACACCAATGTAGAATTTTTAAATATTAATTATAAAGTCAGTATAAAGTAAAAAAAATGTTTAGGGCGAAACGACCTAGGGCGAACGCGAGTTAGGGAGAAACAACCCTTCGCACGAAAGAGATTAAGGGCAAAACAACCAGTTACCAGATTTTAGTATAACCTAGCTCTAACAGTTACAGTAGCTCTTGTTTGAAACAGATGACAAGTTATATTAGGGGCCCAAAATTAATAGCCATGAGATAATTTCCGGGCCTGGGGATGTGAGTATATACTATTTTGTGGTAGCGTAACAAATGTAGCGTTAGTGGTACATATTTCACCTGTTTTTCCATGGTACAACCCTTCTTCTGGTAAGCTGATTCATTCCTGAGACGAGTGGCCGATACACACGTGTGGGCAAAGTGTACGGAAGTTTTGAAGTGGCTATAATTTTAAGTCCGGAACTGGGTTAAAAAAACAGGATTCATTACTAGGGGCCTGTTCGTATAAATGCGGAACAACCGGTTTGACCGTTCATAAACGTAGCAATTTCGGGTATAAATCCTGACGGACCTGCAAACGTTTATGCAGGCCTTGCAAGGCTTTGTCAGGGCTCGCCTGAAAGCAGAATCAGAGTACTATAAGTTAGGTCCGACCTTACTTGATTAACGTTGATAAACGAACAACTGTGGTCCAAGGGCTAGCGCTGTAGACTGCACATTCTAAAAAAACCACCACAAAAACAAAAAACACACACAAAATGTTAGTGAAATTTCAACATTTAATTTATTTATTCTATTTTTAAAATATATATATATATTTGTGTATTTTATTTATTCACCCCGCTATCCCCTTCCCAACCACACCCTCACCAAACAATGCAATCCCTCCCTCCATCTCTCACTCATTCACTCTCTCACTCAGTATTACTGTAAATAGGGTAAGCTGATCATGGGTCTTATCTGAATTCCGGTATGCCACAAGGATAATTTGTATAACTACATGGCCTCTCTTCTATTTTGTAATATATTGGACTTCTAAAATTCCGAAAATCCCCCAAACAAACATCGTAATCATGAGAGGAATGCTTCAATTACGGACGGTATTTCTTTTATACATTTATACAAAAGTCTTTTTCAGTCCCATCTTGATATGGTCCACTTGCAAATCGTAATAAACACATTGATGTAGCCTAATACTGAGCATTGAAACACTACACTGACGTCAAATCATGCCACTAGATTATCAATGGACTGAAAAATGAAACATGCGTGTACGTCATAGCACGGAATTAGATTGTTATCTAAGTCTGTGGTCATAGCGTGTACGTCATAGCATGTACGTCATAGCCAGCTTATAATTAAGTCCATAATATATCGACTATACTGAGTATTCTCGCAGTACAAGATCGCGAGGGACTGTACGCTCAGAGTATTCCCTATAGATAATTGATCATTTAGTCATTGCTCGTGCACATGGCTGTAGTTATACCCCGAATCGGTGAAAGGGGGCTGGGGGTGGGGGTAGGGGTTATATATAGTAATCGCTTTATCAGTGTGTGCGAGAGTTCACCGTAGTAAAACACTTGTGTATCTCAATATACCCTCACCACAATTTGTTCCTATTTTTTTTTTTTACCATAATAGGATAATATCAAGTTCACTCCCGATTATATTTTTGATGGGCAAGGTTAAAAGATCACACTTGACCAGTATATCTTCTACGCCATATTTTTATTGGTGGTGCATATTTGCCAATACTCCCTATTTTGGACACTTAAATGGAGCATTTTTAATCAATGAATTTGCTACACTATTCCTATCCTTTCTAAGATCTGGTGAATTCATCTGAAAGAACAGCTTAAAAAATCTCATTTAAAAGTTCTATTCCCCCCTAGGGATACGTACACACATCTTATTCATGCTTTCATTCTGAGCATGCGTTATCTCCTTCGTGGAAATTTCAAAAAGTTGGCAAGTTATGGGGGTGGGGTCGGGAGGGGAAGGGGTGTTGATTTATCTATCGAGCCTCCATTTATTTGTTCTACGCCCCTCCCTCATTTGAGGGAAGATGAAGGGTCAGCATGTGGTACAGGAACTATTTACATTTTAGATGTTACTTCCGGTTTTATGAAGGTTCATATTGTCCTTTGTTTTTGTTTCTTTTCAGATTTTGTTATTGTCAGTCCGGATTGACTTGGAGTTGTTTAATTGTTGTTCTGTGGTAGGTTACTTTTGCATTTTCCCTTCTATGATGACGTCACATCATCTAACTAAGTAATTCTTGTGTCAATTTTGTTTCTAATATAGAATAGTGATACTGCGGAATCTTGCCGTGTTTTCGTAAACGATGCATTTGCTGGATTCATGTCATCATTGTCATAGTTTGAAATGCAAGAAAAAAATGAATAGAGAACTAATAGAGTTTTTAAATGCGTGATATAAAACTTATTGGATTCTTCTATCGGCCTTCTTTTATCCCGAAAATTAACCTCGTGTAAAAATAATTACAAAACCTGTGGACATTATATACATTGCAACGTTAGAAATTAACGAGAATGTCTTAAACTTTACGGATTATCAGGAGTAACATTAATTGTGGTAAGTGATGGATCATGTCAAGGATATTTACTCTTCTGTTATGCTATAAATGTCTTGCAGAAAGTAGCACGCTTACTGTATATTAAGCTCTTTTGAGAATTCATATATGTCTCATAATAATCTCCGCAACCCATTTAGTGGGGGTACAAGAATGGGGTTTTACAGATAATACTTACATTAAGAGGTTTTGTATAAAGGATATAGATCTGAGGTTCCTCTCCATTTAATGGAGTTATGTCCCTTTGCTTAAAACATGTTCACACTTTTCCTCAAAAAGTACTGAGCCAAATTGAATGATGATTTTCCTACAGTTCTCGTCGCAGGCGGGGTATTAGTCTGCTATTCTTGCAATAACTCTTTTTGAGAAACACTTCCGCTGTCCGTGTTGATGCTTCATATTATTACTTTGAAACATGATTAACATTTGTCGTCGTCGTCGTCGTGTAACATAGTTAACTCGGGAAACAAAGAATCATATTTCCCTACAAAAAGCCCAATAAATGTATTTATTTTTAAATCATTCAAAGAAAAGAACATGAAAAGAACTGAAAATATATATTGTTACTGCCGTCTTGACCCTTAGCTCTTATAAGCGTCTGCCTCGCTGTTCCAACAGTAGTTTAGACTATTTGGAATTACAACCGGTTGACCCCTACCATCACCGACGAGTCCTAGAAGGACGAAACATCTGTATGTTAAAGTGTTATTCATTTCCCCCATAATGTATCGAATATCTAATGTTAAAGGTGCAATTCCCTGTGAGTGTATGTTACAGTTATCTTTGTTTAAATATTTTCCCTCGTCGAGTGTTCATGTTTGCTGAACTGTGATAGCTCACAAAATATATACCAAAGAAATATCGCATTTGTTTAACTCGAATCCGTACGTCTACCTGCAGGCGGGGGACACCCCACCCAACACCCCTGCTGAATTGGGGATTTGCTTTGGTGTCCTCTATTTGGGGACACAAAAGCGACCAGAATAAATCTGCTGCCCCCCCCCCCCCTTGCCATGTTTGGGATCTTTATCTTTCTTTCTATTTCTAACTACCTTTTATTTCCTAGCGCCTTGATTGGCAGCGCGTCATTTTTGGCTTTAATGCTGAGCGTTCGTCCAGGTGAGGAAGGCAATGGGTTCCAAGGCCGGGACATACCATAGTTCTTAAAATGGTAGTTGGTATTCCCTGCTTAACGTTCAGCTTTTAGAGGAATGGCAACATGTGACCGGGCGGAATGCTTTGTTGGGTGCCTTCGGCATGGCAATTCAGTGAGATAGCACTATAAAGTCGGCATGATATCCGCACTTTCACAAGGAGGTCAGCACAACAACATACCCTGTCTCCTGCACACACACACACAAGCACGCATAAACTACACACATGGAGGCACATCCTTAAATGACCTTAGCTACGTTAAACAAAATTAAACCAAACGAAACCAACATCTACCCATTCTTTGGCTGTAGAAGTTGGAAGGTATAATAATATACATAGAGAACGTAGATATTGTAAACAATGTAACTCCCCCTCTGAAGCTATTATTGGAAAAAAACATATGTGTTTGAAGTCGTTCAGTTACTGAGTGTCCATAATATTAAAGAATTGTGTCTACTAAGAAAATCCATCTATGAGGCAAACAAATTAAGGGTATTATAATTGAATAAGACTGTCTTCATTCTCTGTGCATTGTCGATGATTGTGTATATATGTATTGTATACTGATGGGCCAATGGCCTAAAGTTTGGATAAAACTTAAAACTAGATATCCTAATTATCGTATGTTACAGGTTTGTTATCGGTAATTGGCCTTTCGAGTCTGTTGCATTGAAATAAATCATAACATCATCACGTGATATCATGTGTTTAAGGATTATGATGAGCATCGCAATTTATCAGCAAGATTGGACACAATCTGGAGGGAGAACGAAATCACGAGAAATAGTGTCAGAGTGATAACAGGTCCGGTCATATCTAATGCAGGTCTAGACGACAACAATTGTCAGCACCTAAAACTGACGATAACACAGATCTTTCCATCAGCACATTAGACTGAAGCAAGGGCAGCCCCATCCTCGATATCTAGGAGTTACGCTCACTTTCGCTCTCTGCACCCCTGGAATATGTCATAGCAAAATTGAAGGCACGAAGATAGCTGTTTGATTGGTCTCGGGTTAAAAAACACCTGACCAATCGCTAGGCTGATACCTGTCCTTTGAAGATTACAGAGGAGAGACGCCCGACTTCAAAACCTGTCATTTTTTACAGATACGTGACCGCGAGATTCTTTTGATGCTTGTCTCATCAACAAGGTGGTGCACATCGAGACTTCGATTCTGATATGACATACATGTATTCCCTAGGGGTGCAGAGAGCGAAAGTGAGCGTAACCCCTGGATATCGAGATGGGACAGGCCGAGTTTCTTCTGGCCCCGACACCAGACTCCAGACTTAGCATTTTGACAGATATAATCTGTCCAATTGTCACCATAAGTCTGATGTCAGGGCTAGAGGAAACTCTCTATAAAGCAAGGGGTAACATTGTATGACTAATAATTCATAAACAAATGCTTTTTTCAAATTTTATATATTCATCAATTACACATCATTAGATATATACAATACTTGGGATATATAGTTCATTTGCATTTAATTCTCGAAGGACATTTATACATATTATACATTATAAACATACATGATTTTTCTTAACAAATATGAAACTTCCTGTAAGTTTTCGGCAGCAGCTGTCGTTTTTTAATTAGGCTATTTTCTCCTCATCTGTGTACGTTATTTTGGAGATAAAGAGAGATTGTGAATGTGTCTGAGATTTGTAAGTTTAGAGAATCTCGCAGTCTTTCCTTTGACGTCGACACTTACGATGACGTCAGCGGCCGAATCGGCCACTCTGAGCACGTGATATAAAACGCCATTGGTTTGGTCAAATCCATTAAAAACAGAGCCTCCATAGTATCGCTCAAACAAACCTTAAACAAACAAACAAATTATGTAAGTGTCCCGCCTAAACAAGACAGAGTTATCATAGTATCGCTCAAACAAACCTTAAACAAACAAACAAATTATGTTAGTGTCTCGCCTAAACAAGACAGAGTTATCATAGTATCGCTCAAACAAACCTTAAACAGACAAACAAAGCATGTTAGTGTCCCGCCTAAACAAGGCAAAGTTATCATTTTGTTTCAATGCTATATACATGGCTTGCTTCATCAATACATTATGGCATATGCGCAATTTTCTTTTTATTTATTTACATCTATTCAGATAGATGTGCTCACCTGCCGGGGAGATCTGGAAGAGTGGCGTCACAAAACCTGACATAGGGTCGATCTGAATCAAACTCCATGCGGGCCTTTTCTCGGCGTATAACCCCTCAGGTGCCACAGCATACAAAAGAGCAGCTGAAAACAAGGGACACAAATAACAATGATAAAATAGATTAACAGCAAGGATACAAGCAGGAGCGATGACATAGTTAAATAAGAGAGACAAATGACACTAAAACAGTGGCACACAGCACTGATATTAACAGGGGTGACAAACAGGAATTCAATATAAAAAAATGGAGTGACAAAAAGCCGTGATGTAAACGGAAGTGACAGATCAAAGTATCTGGAAATGTTAAAAATCGCAACCTACTTTTAGGAAAGATAATAATAACGTACAAGAGAAAGGGTACGTTGAATACAACGACCAGACCCGTATTCGAACCTGGGACTCTCCAAACTCGTCGACGATCGACCTAATCCAGTTCTGCTACACGAATTAACACCACGATTTAAATGTAACCATGATAATGACAACAAAATAGACGGTGAACGACCACCTAAAGAACTTGATTTTTACAATGTTAGTTGTAGCCAGTACACAGCGTTCGCTGCTACTCGTAAAATGAGATTGAGTATAAAGGTATATGTGCATCTTTATCCGAAAATGACGGAACTAGTACTCACGAGATTGTGCTGTTGGCCGATAGACATGGATCGACATGAACGTGCAGATTGACTTTTGAACCGGCACCATTTTGACAAGAGATCTGAAGTAAATACATTTAACATATTAATTTCTATGTAATTATCTACAGTCGTCGAAAAATACAAGTAACAAATGCACAATAGCTATTGTTTTCTGTTTGTTTTATTTTCTCCACCTGTACGTCCTAGGATTTATTTGGACAAATAACAAAGCACCTTATTCTTTTCCATACAATCGGAAACCACCTTTGACCAGCGTGACCCTTGGATTGATGCATAATTACCGGTTGAAGAAGTTGTACACGTATATTCTGGCGTCCAGAGTATCGGGTTCATTTTCGTTACCCATGAGAACAAACAACTGCCCGGATGTTCGGTCCATGCTTGCCCATTGGAAGTTAACGTAAAGATCCTCAGTATCCGGACTGCTGTAAATCTTTTTGTACACTAAACCAGTTCCGGGAACGTAGTTGATCTGACCAAGGTTGAAGTAGAATGTGCCTGACAACGAGAACGAGTTAACAAACATATACTAGAAATTGAGTATGCCTGGGTATTTCAAATGCACAAGACTTACATTCAAAATAAAATGTATTGATATTAACCTTTGGAAGTGGAATTATTGCTTCCTTTGTGTGTTTGAAGCCATACAAGCAAAATTAAATACGAGCTGGTATACATTTATCACGAAAAACAGAGCTGATAGCTTTATAATAATAAAAAAAACTTTATTTATTGAGGATAAAATACATGTTTAGCCAAAGGCTAATCTTCCACATGGTCCTCTTGTTAGTAAAATACATATGTTAGATAAAATAACATATTTACGCAATCGATATATAAATAAACATGGTAATCTTGCTAATAAAATACATGTGCTAGTAAAAGTTACATATATATTGATGCAATCGACATATATAAGGTTATATCACAGTTATCTTAGTTAAGAGTATCACAGTATGCTTAAAGTTTCAAGCAAAGGTATTTCATCAATTAAATGGCATGTGCCTAATATCCATACATGCTAATATAGCAAACAATAAAAATTGAAGTAGTTATACGCTAATATAGCATAATCTAAAATATTATTATAATTTAGATAAGAAGTCTATTCAGAAAGTAACAAGTTTTGGTTACGTGGAGAAACAAGTTAAATTCTAAGACACTGCTATACAGTATTTAGTATAAATACTATACTTATCATAACACGACAGTTGATACATGTAGTGATTTACTCCAGTGCTTTGAGAGAACAAAGGGGATACCCTAGCTTATATAATTACTAGTCGTAAATGTAGGAAATCAACAAGAATAATGCTCACACGGATGATAAAAATGCTCAGGACATGTAACTGAGAGACAAAAATGGGGCCATATATACAGAGGAATAACAGAGGGAAACGACAGAACACTACAGACGAGTTACACGTTAACAGGGGCCCAAACGCCTTATATGTATTTCACTAACCACTTTTCTCGGGATCCTCTTTTATGCTGAAGGAGACATAAGTTCGCGGTTGTACGAATTCAAGTGCACTAATAGGGACCCCGTCAAATCCAACGAGGGGAGTTGTGAGTTCCATCTTCCCACTATTGGTGAATAGGACCATGACCTCACTGGCTGCGTCATCCATAGAACCACCATGGTGATAAATTGTCAACATTTCTGATTCTGCTGGATTTAGGGCCGTTATGCCATCCATAAGGAAGTTCGGTTGTTGCAATGCAAACTTTCTTGGAATGTGTGTTAAATCAACTCCAATATTAAACTCGGTCAATGGCTGCACAAATCCTAAGTCCAAGGAAACATTCACAAAGTGAAAACGTCCCGGCTCAAATTCGTTATAAGCAAGTCCCTGCAGATAAAACGAAGTATCAATAGACTCCTTCATGGGATAATTCATTTGGAGTTCCGTTGCTTTTCGCAGTGTCCTGAAGTTTGGATCAAATGGAACCGACACACGAGGACTATCGAGGAAACTGTTTCGCTTGATCACTTTGACGTCGGAACATTGATAGAATACCATCTCCCCATGTTTGTGAGACTGATAACGGGCTCTTACAACACAGTGTTCACACGGGACGTCTGGAACAGTCTACAAGACAAACCAGATTATAAAATTCATCCAACAATAGACATTAAAACAAACAAACAAAAAACCGTCACAAACCACTGAAAAACACAAACAAAAAACCGTCACAAACCACTGAAAAACACAAACAAAAAACCGTACAAACCACTGAAAAACACAAACAAAAAACCGTCACAAACCACTGAAAAACACAAACAAAAAACCGTCACAAACCACTGAAAAACACAAACAAAAAACCGTCACAAACCACTGAAAAACACAAACAAAAAACCGTCACAAACCACTGAAAAACACAAACAAAAAACCGTCACAAACCACTGAAAAACACAAACAAAAAACCGTCACAAACCACTGAAAAACACAAACAAAAAACCGTACAAACCACTGAAAAACACAAACAAAAAACCGTCACAAACCACTGAAAAACACAAACAAAAAACCGTCACAAACCACTGAAAAACACAAACAAAAAACCGTCACAAACCACTGAAAAACACAAACAAAAAACCGTCACAAACCACTGAAAAACACAAACAAAAAACCGTCACAAACCACTGAAAAACACAAACAAAAAACCGTCACAAACCACTGAAAAACACAAACAAAAAACCGTCACAAACCACTGAAAAACACAAACAAAAAACCGTCACAAACCACTGAAAACACAAACAAAAAACCGTCACAAACCACTGAAAAACACAAACAAAAAATAACCGCTGAAACAAAAAGATAAACCAAATCTGAAAAATAAGGTGTCGAAGTCATCAACGATTTATTACGCTTAATCAATCATATAATCACAGAAATCACTTTTGGAATTCAGGTAATAATTTCGATCCCAAGACTTTTACATTATATAGTTACATCGAGTCCTCTCTGGAAGAGATCGATATCGAGTATATTTACTTATGAGTAGGACACACATGTATTGATACATATCTATAACAGTCTCTGGAGTAGTAACGGTACAATGTAGTCACAGGTGACGATAACTTTCTCAGCACATAATGGATCAATTGAAACATGTATTCATAATCTTGCTAAAACTTAATCTGGATAACTTGTCGAGTTACTGGATTATCATACGGCGGATAGCTAATGGGCCTGACAGGTCTGATTTCTGGTGAAAAGTTTGTGAAATAGTTGTCAGCGCCAATGACTGTGAGTTACTTACGATGACTGCAGTGTAGTTTTGTTGGTGATCCTGTGCAAACACGTATTTGTCAGGGACAAATGCCAGGAGAGTGAAGTTATCACTGCCCACAGGTGCAATGCTTACATCCATAAAACCTGAAGTAGAAAGTCGGGATCACTTAAATTAGATCTAATAATGAAAGGCCAAGATTCTTATCAAACGGAAAACACACTGATGCTGGCCACCTCCTCTTCTTCATTTCAAAAATTTAATTTGAATATTGGAAAAAATGCTTCGAACATGTCTAAAAACGTAGTCAACAGTTAAAGAAGCACTAGCAACAGTGTAGCGTATCAATGATTGGTTCAAAATAATTGATCATCTCCTTTAAAATAAACTTTTGATGGTAAGTCCCATCAACAACAACAAAATGAAGATGGTAGTTTTGTTGAAAACGAATCACTAACATAACTCATGTTTTCCACCACCTTTGCCTATAAAGTATGATGTAATGTATCCAAATTCCGTACATACCTGGGTATCCAACTTCGTAATGGTTGAAGTTTTGCTGCCACTTCATAAACATTTGTTGCCCAGCAATTAAAGGTTCACCGCTAGGAGTCGCTGCTGGCATCCCTCCGCATGGTCCACCGTGTCGAGTACAAGTATGGCTTCCCGACTATGTAATATATACATATTAAACCAATCGCATTAAAAACAACATATGGGTTTTTCCTTTTTTTCCTTTTGAAACTAGATAGAACTTTATCAATGATATTGACATATACTAATTCGAATACCAAAGTTTTACTATATACACAATAACATATTTCTAAACTGATGAATATTATTGACGATATTTAATCAGTAAACAGTTGTTCTTACTATTGTGATGTCCATATCGCCCCTTTGTTGTGGAGAAATCAGACATAGGTGAGAATGGCATGTGTGTAGGAGACATGTTGTCAGCAGCAGCAGCAGCAACCGGACACTCGGGAAACCCATCTTGTAGTCTTACACACTATCGAGGGATACGAGGACGACTGCTTGGTTTTATATGTTGTTAACCTCCTCGTGCAAGTCATGGCCGTATCATATGATAGCAGTGCAGTTTATCACTGTTGGTTATCAGATTTACGGTATCACTGTGACTTGAGCACGAGACATGGAGATAAAGGGATGACCTGAGTACATCTAAACTCGGGCATATTTACCAACGTACATGTTTCTAAACACCTTCACTTCTCATCTAAACATTGCTTCGAGATTGTAATGAGGCGGCTTACCAACTCTCTCATATTTATGACTAGAACGGCATTCATAAGACTAAAATCGTGCTCGAGCATGGATTCTGTGCTCAAGCATGGATTCTGTGCTCAAGCGTGGATTATGTGCTCAAGCATGGATTCTGTGCTCAAGCATGGATTCTTGCAACTCGCGTAAAACATGTGACACGGCCAAAATGTCAAGTGTAAACATTGAAAACGGTGTTCGGTTATTAGTCTCTCAAAACAGATAGAAATGATTGAGGAAAAAACAGTATTTTTTTTTAAAAAATTATCACAGGGGCTTGAACACATAATCTGAGTTTTGAGCATGAGAACGGTTTCAGGAATACGGGCCTTATAAAAAGCACATCTTAATCGATTCAATCGTCATTCCATATCTATGGCGATTTTATTGCCAACTCTTACATATCATATTGCCTATTAATGCCAACATAAAGTAGTTCAATTAAATATACGCTGGATAAATGTAGCTGGACATGAGAGTCGTTATCATTGGGGACCATATGCCTTTTGTTAGCACTTAGATGTTAATAAGATAAACTTAATATTTATGGACAATGCATATGCTTAGTACATCGCATGATAATTCATAGGATCATGATTTTATAAACTAGCTCAATGATTCAATTAAGCATAGTTTCGTCTGTCCTTGACCTCATCACGTGACTGCGGGAGACAATCCTTTACTCAGGGCACTTTTCCTCCGTGACGCCGTTTCCCCCGGAACGCCCAACGACTCGGGTAGATTGTCTCCCAAGACAACACTATCAGATAACAGTTCCCTCGGGAAAGGGGGTAAAATAGAATGGTACTTTTAATAAACCTGATGTAATAATGCTAATAAACCTCACGTATGGAATATAGTGCCAGTATTGGATTAAGTGGTCATTTATTGTTTGCTTTTAATCTTGTGTTTTTGCAGAATTCGACGAACATAGACGTAAACAAAGAAGAAACTACTTCAAGGCTAATCACTCAAATATCACGGGGTCATGAACAATATGGACTTTTCTGAAGCGTGGGAGTTCTTTTACTAAATCAATATCAAAAGTTATAGAACAACATACCCAGTGTATAAATATTTACCTTAGATGAGGAGAAGGCACCAACTCTCAGACATTTAACCATTGCAAGCAATTAAAACCAATTAAGAGAAGAAGATGGAAACAACACTCACTGTAAAATATCTTCAACACGCCGTAAAGAACAACCAGAAACAACGCCACTAGGGCCATCAGAAACGGTATTGGAGTTTCTTTCTGTATAAAATGTAAACAGAACCCAAATTATTTTTGAACTATGTGATATCAAAGCTAAAACTAAGGGTTATATAACACAACTGAAATGGAATGGTGAACTTACCATAAATGACCAGGCTGATGTATTAACATAAAAGGACAGACTGTATACCTCTATTTAGGAACCACGAACCCGATACGAGGATATAGGGGAGATTGATATTACTTAGGAAAAAGTTATCAAAGTCATTGGAAGACTAATCCTCCAAAGAAATCCGCAGGACCAAACAGCAAGAATCCTAAATACACGAAAGAAACTGTCAACCAAATTAATGACACCATTAAAATCATATTACAGAAATATTTAGAACAAGTTAACCAAAATCCCGGAGGCTAGCAAATGTAACGCCAGTTTTTAAAAGGGCAACCAGAAGGACGTAAGAGACGTAAGGAAACGATCGTAAGAGGCGTCTACTGTTGGGCCACTGCAGAATCGAGTGTGATTTCCTCCTTTTCTCCTGTTTAAACCTAACATTGTATCCCGCTGCATGTGTATATTGAAAGACGTCTAACGTGCGCCTGCTGAAGCGGGGATTTCCTTTCGTGTCTAATACGAAGAGAGCATGGGGCCAAAATTGATCCACATTGCAACGTTTGAATATTTTTTTTCCTTTCTTATCTTTCCTGTCTATACTGTCTTTCTTTCCTATCTATTTTTTACTTTCCGGTTGTGTCTCCAGAAGCACCCGTTCTCATATGACCCTGGCTGTTGCGAGGACGTTAAAACCCCGAACAAACAAACAAACTTACTATACAGAGTTTTTACAGGCTCATTAGCATGGCATCAGGCATCAGAAAAACTGCTCCAACGTCATAAGGTTTGGACCATTTGGACAGAAACAGCCTGCATTCCGGAATGATATGCTATGTACTGCACGTGTCCTTCAATTATGGATGACTGGACCAAGGCCCCAGATGACGGCAAACCAACCCAAATCATCTACTTGAAGTATAAGAAGGCCTTTGACAAGGTACCTCACAAAAGAATGATAAAAGATCAAGGCTATGGTATTTAGGGTAATATTCTTGGATGGATGAGAGATTTTCCGAGTGGTGATCAATGACAGCGAATCAGCTACCAACAAGATAACAAGCGGAATCCCGCAAGGTACTGTACTCGGGTCACTTCGTAAATCATACAAAAATAGTTCATGGATTACAGTCGGTCACAAGCGAGCAGGACATTGATGTTACTTTCGACTCAAACTTGAATTTGATCAATCATACCAACCAATATGTGTCAGAAGCCATCTGTTTTCCGGGTATGATCTGTAGAACAGTAGAGAGGAAGGTTTACTTATTCACCAATCAGCACGATAGATTTTCCGATTCTTTATCGCGTAGAGCTGCCGTCTACTGAGAAAAAGCGTTCTACGGGTAGCTGGTCCTAAGTGATATAAAGTTGGAAAATCTAGGGCGCTGATCATGATTGGCCGAAGAAAGTTTTAAATATACACCGATGCTGTTGACAATTGGATTGGCTCTGGTAAATCAGGGTGTCTGTATATATATACAGTTTTACGGCCAAGTTTCTGTATATATATATATATATATACGTTGGAGGAATGGCATTCCGATGCATGGCCCAATCTGTCCACAGCTTTACGGCCAATTTGGTGTTTTGCCTTTTCTTTTTTGGCACGCCTTGAAAAAAAACCACTCGATATTCTTGATAATTTCCGGAAATGGGTGAACCATTGAGCTTTATGTTTGCATGACCTTTAATCTTTCCGTGCTATCAACTATCTGTGATGCATGCTACCTTTGTGATATTTTGTTGTTTCTATTAATTTTGATTATTATATATAGTCGTAAGCACTGTTACAAACACGACTCTAAATTTGAAAAAATGTATCTTGTAACCATATCTTTCCATGAATCTGGTTATCGCGATATCGATATTATCAGGGGCGTTTCTAGGATATTTGAAAGAGGGGGCGTAGAATGAAATCTTTCGCCGAGCGGAGTGAGGCAAACAAAAAATTGGACCTTTTTTTTGCTAAAATTGTGAAATTTTAAGGTCTTTTGATGGGGGAATCAGTATAAAAAGAAATCAGAGTATGTGTTTAATTAATGAATATGAAAAATTGCCATATTCAATACAATATTTGCAGATGACGATATTTATTTTATTTTTTTTTTTTGAAAAGGGGGGGGGGGTACGCCCATTACGCCCTCACCTGGACCCGCCCCTGATTATCCAGATCCCAGTTTGCCATGATAAAATAAAACGCTGTCGTCACCAGATATACCGTCCACATGGACATGATAATTAGTTACAGCTATATTTTGACCATTTATATATAAACATTGGGGTGTTATTTTTACCGAAAGACGATATAAACCCCTAACATGTAAAATTATTCTGAACACCTTAGTTTAGGTCCAAATGTAGCTGTAACTACTGTAATTTTCAGGTCCCTGTGATTCAACACCAGATGTGAAACCAGTGCTAGGGCTCACTCATTCACATTCTTACCATCCACGTGAGAAATGCCCCATTCCTGTTTTACTTTAAAAATAGACTATATAAACACTGGTGCTCCTTTTATATCCACAATTAATAGAAATATCTGATTCCGATTTATAAAATTTCCAAATGTATATTTGATATATTTCTCTTTATATGTATCAGCAAATGTTACATATGGAAGTTGACTTGTCTTACTCAACCGAATTCGATGACACCTGGCATACAGGATCAGTAAAGCGATATTATTTCTTACTTTGACTATCTCTTATGGAGCTAAGGAACTTTCTGTTATTTGTTTAAAGTTTAGCATGTAGCTTACATTTCTAGTTTTACTGGATGGATTCATTCCTGTCACGATTTTTCGAGGGATTCGTAATATTACTTAATATGACTCATATCATCTGAAATATTATGTTATTATCTTACTTCGAATGATTTTCAAACCGATATAAATTGAGTAGATCTAATAACTTTGTGATTGTGTTGTTTGTTCGAAATCACCGTGTGTATTCATTACTTTGTAATTAGGTAATTCCTGTCACCCGTTTGCAATAGCTTTCATATATTTATTAATATGACTGACATGATTTCATAGAATATATTTATTTTTTTATTAATTGTTGTTTACTCAAAAAATGAATAAACATAAGGGATATATGGCCATTTTAATGCATTTTCTTGCTCTATTTAATTAAATTATTCCTGACTTTACCCTTGCCCCTTTCGCAAGTTTTACAAGATGGACGCACTGTCATAATCTTGGCGATGTAATATTGACCAAGAGCCTTCTAAAAGGTAAACTCAATGAAAATGATTACATCCATTATGTCAGTACAGACAGTAATACAGTATGTGAAGCAATTGTAAATGTAGCAGTGGTGAATTTTGTAGATAAACATCAACAAACACTGTGAGAGTTCTTCACGATTTATTGTGCGTAGTTCCCATTCCTTAGACATAAATGATTAAACCCTGCAATCATATAATAATTACATTTCAGATATATGTATGGGATCTACAACTCATTCATAACGCACATATACATGTAGCACACTGAATTTACAAGAAGTTATCTTGAAATGTTACATGTAAGATTATAGTTCTATAAGTTATAAAAGTTATATTACATCTAGATTTACATTATATTTACTGATATTTATACACATGTAATATTGAACATATGATGTAAATCTTATCTTAGCTCAGTATTTATTGGTACGGAGGTTACTTAATAAATATACAAAGAGTACAATAAAATACATTCATCAATACATTACTATAAGTTTAAAATAGAAAACTGTACCTATTTGTGGAACAGGGCCATTTGAAGTCGTACGGAATTATCCGAGGTTATTACGTGTACTCGTAATTTCTGTATGACAAAGAAACACGTATATATAAAATACAAGTAAAATGACGCAGTATATATATACCGTACAGCTAATAACGAATCAAGAATTAACTAGTATGATCGTATCTATCAATTTGACAATATAAATGGAAACAGATGATTTAGAATTAGAAGTATTAATTAGTGCAAGTTAGTGAATTTCTTACCAGTGTCCTGTCTTGTCTGCTTCGTCAAGACGTCATGTAGTCTCTGATAAATATCGCGCCAAAAGCCACCGGTCACACAAAGAAAACAAAGAAGCCCTTGACCATTGGCTAACCCAAGAGGTGACAACAGGATAACTTACAAAACTGACCAATGATAAAAACATATATAACCAAACCAATCCAAGAGGCCAAAATAAGGAACTAACTATACCACAATATGAAGATCGCTATTACTATATCAGAACATATGTATATACCGTAATATTATAAATATAGATATCACAAATATCGTCTCTGCCACATAAACATCAACCTAAACAAATGTTAATAATCAACAAATCAACCTTTGTCAGTATAATACCGATACTCAGTAAGCGGTAGTCTTGTCGGCTGCTTGTCATTCTAGGTACAATTATATTACTGTATGCACCTCTAGAATAAGATCTGGGAGTGCTTTTTGGTCAGGTGGACACTTTGATAACAACAACAACAAATGTCATTAGTATGTTTGTCATTGATGATGTCATACCTTTTCGTGCGCCAATTAGAGTATGTTATGTTTCATATATCATGTTGTAATGTACAGATGTAGGATGGACACTGGGTTACGAAATAACAGATGATGAGTTTTAGTGTACTGTCTTATTACAGCAAACAACAAGAACGGCAAGATGTCAACTCACAACGCTGAATTTCAGGCTTTCAAACAACAGAAAGCCGCCAAAAAAGGTAATATCTTAACGAGGTAACACAAAATGACATATCTGTATGGTCATGCATCTAGATACAAGATACAAGAATTTTTATTTAGAGTCGTGTTTGTACCATTAACAATGTAACTTTAGCTCAGGGAAACTATTCTTACAACTAAAACATCTGTTCTTTAATTTCTAAATATTATTCAGTCTGTTCATCTGCCATATTGATACATTGTTCATCTGGTAGAGCGTCCGTCTATAATTCAATGGGTCCAGGTTTTGAACTCCGATCTGGCAATGCATTTTTCCTCTCCTGTTACAGTACTTTAGTGGTGACTAGGTGACCATGCAACCCTAAATGTTTCAAGCATTTGGTGTACCCTTTGGCAAGGGGATACCTTAACCTGGGTCGTAAATATAGTTGTGTCTTCGGGAGCAAAGGAGGGAGGAATGTAGCAGGACTGGACTGGGTTGATGGTTGACGGCCAATGCATGTGCATTTTTCCTGTCCTGTTACAATTGAATAATGGATAACAGTCATCTTAGCTTCGATCAAGCTAGATTAGAGGGAGTTTCTCTTTAGCGCAATTGTTGGCGTGGCCAGAGAAGTATAATACATACATGTATGTAATATATTATGTCTCTGGTACATTCGACTGGGGAGGTTGGAGCCACTGTTCTATGTAATAGGACCAGCTGGGTATTATCAAGTTGGCAAGTATGATATGGTCACCTTCTAGCTTTGTGCTAATGAAATTCCCTATAGCTCAACTGGCAGAGACTGTAATTACTTACCTAATAATACCTTACATGTAGGACTTCCAATATGACACTAAAATTTAACGAATCCCCAATACCACATACAGGAAAGGGCTTGTAAAAGAAGATTTCTTTTATCAATACTTTGCATTATCTGTAAGCTGAGGTATTTTCTACCTACCTAAAATATTTCCATATTTGCCTATGGGTGCAGTCATTTGGTTTAGCCAACACTTTTTTATTAGAAGGTATTATATTGTCAATATGTAATTCTTAAATGAAGTTTACGTAATACAATGCATTAACACTTCTTCAAGTATTTAAGTAAAACAATGTGAATTGATGCCATCATGTGTTTTAAATTTGGTCTCATTTTCTTCATTCTCCTGCCAGATGTATTCAATTTCACGACCCAAAACGTGATAACAACAACAAACTTGTGGTACGTGCACAGCATTGACAGCAATGTGCAAAAGTTCAGGGCACATAACAGGTGTAGCACAGAAACTGGTCCTCAGATGATATACAGAATGTTGTCCTGTGAAAAACTTTAAAATGTTATGAAAACTAATTCTATTATCATTTACAAAAAGAATATTTCTGAAAAAAAAACTCAAATGTATGAAAGAAGTGTTTTTATTTTATGCTTCAAGTCCATCTTTTACTAACCTTTCTATGAGGTCTATAAAAGTCAAGTAAGCCTGCTCATTATTTTCAACATTAATTATTTGGTTGTGAGATGTAGAAAGCAGGTGATTATTTTTGAATTATTGGAGGCACAAAGAATTGGTATTGCTATAATTATTTTGAAGTATTTCATTAAAAAATTTGCATGCATAAAAGGGTAAATATAGCTGTTAGAAAAGAAAACAAACCTGTTTATTTTTTGTTGATGGACAATTAAGAATGTTATATTAATAATTACTCCACAGATACACGACAAATTTCAGATTTATTACCACAAACATTAAACTCTGTTTAAAGATGATTCTTTTGTTTAATTAAGGAAAAATATCAATAAAATTATCAAACTCTATTCTTAAATAACAGTTAGCCCCATGAATATTTTATCAGAATTTTAAACAAATGGTGTCACTGTAGTGATTTTAACATCTAATGTTAATTTGTGTCATCAGAGGCTTTGCGGGAGGAGCGGGCGAAGGGAGCTAAGCATCTCCACTGGGTTGGTGTTTCCATGCTAGTTACCTCCCTTGGACTACTGATTTCCAGTTCCTTGTTTGTAGCCTATGTGAACAAGAGTGAAAATCTTCACCTAGGAACCGTACCTATTGGACTGTTTGCTGCACTGTTGGTAGGTTATGTATTCAAGGTCGGTCACAAGGGCAATCAAAGCACATTTTGATGGTGGTTACAGATATTAGTAAGAATAATTAAATATATATACCAACACACATTCCCAGGGCTGACAATAAAGGTAGGCCGATAGACACAGACTAGTGAAAACCCCTAGCTATCTAAATTGACTAAAACAATTAGGTGTTATTTGTCATCATGTTGAATAATATTAGCTTAATGGAATTTGCGCATGGATTAGTAAAGTTATAAACTACATTGTACTGAGGACCATGTGGTAGATTAGCCTTTCGCTAAACATGTCATCCTCGTTAAATAAAGTTTATTATTATTATTACTATCCCGACTAGAGAATTTGAAAAAAATATTTCTAGCCCTGAACCCATGTGTTTCGCTCGCCCAAGTGATGTTGAGGTATCTAATATATGTTCAACATTTCCCATGGCTCATTTGCTTAAGGGTGATTAAAGACTAAAAATAATCTAATCATATTTAAAAGAAAGTACTTTCCAAAAATATATTTATTTTAGAATGATCAGCAATCATATATAAGAGAAACTGGGGGGAAATTTGGAACATGTCTTAAAGAACATAAAAAGAATAAAGAAAAGATGAGCAGTACAAATTTGATCAGAAACACATGCAAAACATATACCACCCAGTACAATAAGTCGGCGTTTACAAATCAGGCTAACACCCAAATTCACATCTTCAACTGGGACAAAGCCAAAATAAGTTAAAGGGAACAATGAACCAAAATAAGATAAAACCAAGGAGCAATTAAAATCAGGAAAACTCAAAACATGAACAGAGATGAGGGGGGACACCAACTCAGTCTTCTGTATGACTCATTACTGATCTAATCAGGAGTGGGGGCTAGATCTACACCCAACCAGTAAATACATTCTCTATTGATAGGTGAAACGTCAATTTTGTCACATCATTGTACAGGTAAACAATACAAATCGCTCATTCAGTCATAGCTTGACAAAGGGACTATTTGGTAATAAAATGTTGCAACATATTAATTATGTGCATTGTTTGTGTATAAAGGAAAACTTCAATGTGACATATTTGTGGCAGGGATAGCCTGTCCAAGTATCATGGATAGTGTTATCAATTAAATTATAATGTTTTAAGAAAGGTGGATGAAGGAAATATTATTAGTGGAGTTTAATATGTGATTATGTCTGGTTTGTTCAGGTGTACATATATTGTGTGTGTAGTATCTAGTCTTGTTCAGTTTCATTGTCCATGTGTCAGTTGTTCAGTGCCATGTACTTTTGTTTATGTTTTGTTCTGTAACCTGTTTGTGACCTGTAACCCCCCTACTTACCTGTTTGTCATGTGACCTTCCTTACCTGCCCATGCTATTCACATGAGTAAAAAAATGGTTCTGGCAGACATGTTGGAGGGGTTAATCTTATAGAAAAGGTAGGAGTTACTATGCTCAAAATTAATGTAATTTTGAAGATACTGTTGATATGTAATAGTTAATTATAAAACAAATTGTATTAACTCTCTAAATTAGTATGAGATATTTTGAGTAACTATTATAGTGTACTTCATTAATGTACTGAGTAATGTTCAGGCTATATGCTCTGTGAATATTTGGAAATTTGAAATAACTTTTTCTATGTCTATTTTAACGATAATGTAAATATACTAGCGGAAAAAAGAAACTATGCATGCCTAAAATGCGTTATAAAAATAAATGTGTATGACGTAGAACAACAAGGTTTTCAGGGACAATTTATTTGTTATTTATTAACAGTTGCATTCCATTTTCCACGTTATGGAATCAATAAGTTTACAAAGTTAATACCTCGTATGTCCACCATTTGCCTGAATGCAAGCCTGGCAACGTCAACGCATGGAGCCTATCAAACGGTTCAAGAATGCTTGTGGGAGGGCATTCCAGATCTGTACCAACGCTGCAGCCAAATCAGCCAGCGTCAACGGTTGATTAGGTAATGCCCGTAATCTGAGCTTCATTTCATCCCAGACGTGTTCAATGGGCGACAGATCGGGGGATACAGCAGGCCAGGGCAACACGTCATCGTTCTGCTGGGCCAGAAAGTCCATAGCGACACGAGCTGTGTGTGGCCTGGCGTTGTCCTGCTGTAGCGTAATGTGACGTTGCTGCCCTTGCACGAATGGAACGACGTGAGTTCGGAGGATCTCGTCACGGTAACGTAGCGCGTTCAAATTCCCGTTAACAACCATCAGAGGCGTTCTCCCGTTGGCTGTGATGCCCCGCAAAACATAACGCTGCCTCCGCCGAAAGAACGTCGTTGTACCACACACACGTCACGGAAACGTTCTCCAACGTGACGATACACTCTGGAACGGCCGTCACTATTATCAAGGTGGACTCGCGACATGTCCGTAAACAAAATGCCTGCCCAATCCTGTCGAGCAAATCGCAGATGCCTTCTGCACCAGTCCAGACGTGCTACACGATGACATGGCAGAAGAACTGGGCAGATTGCAGGACGTCGCTGACGGATAGCTAGTTCACGCAATCGGTTCCGTACAGCATTCAGGCTTATTGGTAGCAACCCAGGGATTGTCTGTGCAGTCAAACTTGCCGTTTGGAAGCGATTTCTCAAATAGACAAGCCGAATATGGTTGTCCTGTCGACGTGACGTCACACGTGGACGTCCCGCACAAGGTCGATCGCCGATGTGGCCAAACTGTTGTTGTCGTCTCCACAAATCCCGGATTGTGTTTCGATGGACATGAAAATGTGTAGAGACAACGGCTTGGCCCATGCCAGCTTGAAGCATACCGATAATCTGGAGGCGGTCATTTTCATTGATCCTCGGCATAGCATTAATCACAAATTAAAACGTTATAATGCTGTTTTTACTGTTCACTGGTCTCAACAGAGTGACCCAACAGTTGAAAAATAAAATTTTATTGTCGAATTGGATGGCTGGACGAGAAAAACGTACAAACTGGTCGACGCCTATAGAGAGCAAACTGCACGGGAAAAACTGTCAATGACACACGGATAGTGTGTATGTATCATACTCGGTCATGTGTGTGAATTTTCATGTATATACAGTTGGTAATACATGTTCTATAACAATTCTCCGCATGCACAGTTTCTTTTTTCCGCTAGTATATATCGGACTAAATCATTATATATTACTATGTGACAGCTTTTGATTGTTCTTGCAAGTACTGTAAAGAGTCATTGGGTATTTGTTCAGCTTTGCTTGCAGTTAGCCAAACTGCCATTTATATATACTGGATTATCAGCATATTGGAATCCCTTGTCACATTGATAGAGTAAGTTCATTACAGTTATATATACATGTAATATAAATATTAAATGTATATTACAAATTATATATGTTATTGGTCTTAGTATTGCGTAATATATTAGCCAATTAAATAGGTTATAAAGTCTAGCTATTAAGTCAATGACATCATTAAATATTTTGTGAAATGAATGATAAGTATGAAATATTATTAATAGATAAATAATAAATGTAATTACACAGATAATGATATGATACCTTGTAATAGGTACCGTGTAATATATATAATGTTTTAGTAACAAGGTGGTGTCTACTGTACATGTACGTGTGTCATTGTGTTCTTGTAGGGTGTACATTCATCCACCATGTATGATGTCCAGAATGATCTAGTAAACGAATAAAAAACGGGAACGTGTTTGTTGCCACGCCTCTGCCCAAATCCCATCCCTGTTTCATATTTTTGAACTGATGAATTTTGTTGAAGATATACTTATTTAGTTTTTAGGTCACCTGAGCTTTAATTTTGCTCAAGTGACCTTTTCTAATCGCTTTCCGTCCATCATCGTCCGTCGTGCATAAACATTTTACATTTTCAACTTCTTCTCAAGAACCAGTGGATGGATTTTTTTCAAACTTGGTGAGAATCATCCTTGGTAGATGAGGCTACAAAATTGTAAAGTTGGGATTCCAACCCCAACCCCTGGGGCCAGGGCAGGGCCCCAAAGGGAAAATTAACCAATATTTCAAAAATCTTCTTCTCCAGACTCAGAGGAACTACATTCAATTTCAGTGCATAAACAAAAAGATTATCAGGGGCTTTATTTAAATTGTAAATTTCAGGACCCTCGAGCTATCCGTTTTCCCTTGGGAGGGGGTAAAGTTTACAATAGTTTATATAGGGAAATAACACTTTTGGGTATATTTTGACAACTTTCTGTAGGAAATTATTTTTACTTGGTGAGAATTATCCTTAGAGGAAGATGGTTTCAAATTGTAAAATTGAGATTCCTACCCCAACCCCTGGGGCCAGGGCAAGGCCCCAAAGGGAAAATTAACCAATATTTCAAAAATCTTCTTCTCCAGACTTAGAGGTACTACATTCAATTGCAGTGCATTAAAAGAAAGATCATTAGGGTCTTTATTTAAATTGTAAATTTCAGGACCCTCAAGCTATCCGTTCTCCCTTGGGGAGGGGGTAAAGTTTACTACAGTTTATATAGGGAAATAACACTTTTGGGTATATTTTGACAACTTTCTGTAGGAAATTATTTTTACCTAGTGAGAATTATCCTTGCATGGAGGAAGATGGTTTCAAATTGTAAATTTGGAATTCCTACCCCAACCCCTGGTGCCAGGGTGGGGCCCCAAAGGGAAAATTAACCAATATTTCAAAAATCTTCATCACCAGACTCAGAGGTACTACATTCAATTTCAGTGCATAAACAGAAAGGTCATCATGGGCTTATTGAAAATGTAAATTTCAGGACCCCTGAGCTATCCGTTCTCTCTTTGGGAGGGGGTAAAGTTTACTACAGTTTATATAGGGAAATAACACTTTTGGGTATATTTTATTCATTTTCAGCAGAAAATTACTCAACTTAGTCAGAATCATCTTTGGTGAATGAGGGAATTACATTGTAAAATTAGGTTTCCTGCCCGATCCCCAGGGGCTAGGGTGGGGCCCCAAAGGGAACATTTACCAATATTTTGAAATTCTTATCCTTTGATGACATGACAAGTATTGTATTTCACTTAGTTTACATGCTGGTTTCCTCCACATCACATCTAAACAATAAAATAAAGCTACCAGTACCTATGATATAACTCAGGTGACTGCTAAGGCCCTTGGGCCTCTTGTTGATATTAATATATATACATAAATGTATATGGTTCTTGATGTCAGAGGATCATTTTGGATTAGGGCTGCAATAGTTATCCCAACTGGATAACCGTGATTGCTTATTTGAACCGGAAACAGTTATCCATGACTTAACTTGTGTTTCAATGACACTAGATTATGGAATTTCATGTATAGTTCTGATAAAATCAACATAACCTAATACTTCAATGTTTTTTGTCACCAGTGCATGTTTTGTCTTGTGGTGTTCATGTTGGTTATGTTGTATAGAAATATGTGTTTGTATGTATGTAGCTGAGTGGATAATGGAGAGATAATTAAAAATGTTTAGGGATGTGTTCTTTTGATAATTGTAAATAAACAACATGTATTTCTGTAACTGTATATAGTTTGTTAATTGTATCTCTACTGACACTTGTCCCGTGTTACTCTATGTAAACGCTAGATTTCTGACAAGGAAACCATGGCTCCATTACATCACATTACACATGTGCTGTCAATGACTGTCATTGTCATGTGCATATCTTTCTGCATGTTACTTCTTTCATGTATAATGGGTTACATAGCTTAACAGAAGGGCAGTTGATAAATAAGTGTGTAATTACCTGTACGTTGTATAAATTTTAATATACATGTACAGCATGGCACTGTGTTGTATCTTTGAGCAAGATACTTTACGCCGCTTGTTCCAGTCTACTCAGCTGTAAATGAGTATGTGGTTGGGTAGTGCTAGAATTGGTTTGTGCTAGCTGTGAGCATCGAAATGGCAGCACCAGCTGCATGCTCCCCAGGGAGTTGAGAAAGATATTGGCTGGTTGCAAAGGCCCCATAACCACAGATAATAATTTGTGAACCACTTTGAGACGACCTACAAACTACATTGTGATAAAGCGGTATAAGAGAACCTCAAATTATTGTTATTATTATTAAGTATTATATACATGTACAGGCAATATATTGTGTGCTACATGAGTTGATGGCAAGTGTTTCCATGATCTGTCAAAAATAGTCATGAGTGACACTTCCAACTGGGAAATGAAATCAATATTTACCTAACTTTTCATTATTAGTTGGGTATCGCGTATATTGAAATACTAACTGAAAATTTCTTGTGCACAAACTGCAACTTTGGTGGAAGGTATCATTAAAAGGAAAGGGGAAGCAAGATGTACCTTAGTGAGCCCTAGCTCACTTTGTTTTTAACTAATCTGACAATTAGTTTAATACACTCTTGTGATATGTTTGTAGGGAATAGCTGGTGGATTGTGTGAATATTGTGCCTCAAGAACCATTGTGGAGTCCGAGGCAAAGGGATGCTCCAAGAGCTTGGTAAGTACCTGATAAAGACCAGGGTCATTTCAAGAAACAAGTATTATTATAGTGATTATTGATGTTATATAATAATTAATGTAAATTAAAAGTTTCAACACGGATTAGATAAAATCTTGTTCCTTGGTTTCAAAGTGGGATAAAAAATTGTTCAAAAACATCTCGCGGGGACCTCTTTGTCACTGCTTGTGTTTATCAATGATTTTGCCTGGTTTCAAAATCGTCATGTGACGTCATTGTTGCTATATTTAATGGGGCTTTCCTGTCAAATCGAGTGGTCAAACTAGACATTTTGAATTGACTTTGAATTTGGGGATAGCAGGGAAATATAATTGGTAGTGTAGACACCACGTACATTCAATACTTAAAATATAAGTAACTGAAATAATGTTTCTGACGGAACGTCCCTTTAATGTACAGAAATCAGTTTTATTTTAGTTGATTTTAGTGCTTAAGATCAGAGTTCCTAAGTTGGGAGCTATGCTGAAATACGTTTCCATGAGAGCTGTATCATTTGTTTATTTCAGATCATTGGTAACTTTGTGCTGAGCTTTGTTGCTTTGGGACAATGTGTGATTGCCTCAGGATTTGCTGGCAGTACTTACAGCACCTGTATGGAGGATCCTGGTCCACCTCCAGACGCTGATTCTTGGTTCTCGGACTTCAGACAATGTGTTTCCTACAGAACTGAAGTCAGGACCTTTGCAATCTTTATGATTCTGTTTGGCATCGCACTTGGATTGATGTCAGTGGCTTCCATTGTTGTTTATTGTATTTACAAAACGTCCTTCGGGATATATCATCAGGCCCAGATGTTAATGCAGGTGCAGCGAGATGTTCCTGCTATTCAGCACATACTCAACATGCATGCACAGTATCCAGACAGAAACACATGTAGCAATGAGGAGCTGCAGCAGCTTCAAGGCTACATCACAGAAATACAGGAAAGGTTGACAGAGGCAGCATCTATTCCTCAGAGAAATAATGCAGGTGCTCCCATTATGCTTATGAACCTTCAAGCACAAGTTACAACCCTACAGCAGACACTCAACACACACATTCAGATGTCAGGACAACCACAACAACCTGGCTACCCTACGGGAGGTCCAGGACAAATGTACTATCCACAAGGAGGGCAAGGTCAACCTCCTTATCATCAAGGTCAATATATGCCTTATTCACAAGGTCAAGCGCAGCCTATGAATTACCCTCAGGGAGGTCAAGGTCAGCATGCACATTATCCACAAGACCACAACCAAGGTCAAGCAGGAGGTCAGCCCCCTCCGTCATATGAGTTTGCAATGACTAAATATCCTGATGCTGACACAAAACAGAAGAATTGGGTGTAGAAGTGAAGTCTTTGCTGATCTAAGATAATAATGTGTCCATCTGTTGTGCCCGGTTGAAAACAGACTGTATAGTAGTGTTAGTTTTATCATGTGCATTATTGATTGATGAACAAAGACACCAGGCTTTTAAGTTTCTGCAATGAAATGACTACATACACTAGGGTTTTATGATCATTGTGTTAGCAGATAAATTAGTGTTTGTGTAAGTATTAAATGGAATCTCATCATGTCAACGTTTTACCAAATTACTGTAAAATTAAAACTTTTTATTGGGGATTTAATCTTAATTTATTTTGTGGATTAAGAAAATCTAGGAAATACAAAACCACAGCAATATTTTGATCAAATATCTGAGTAATGCTATCAGGTCCATCCATATTATTGCCATATTTTTACTTCAATCATTAAATGCAAACAGTCAGCGCAATATTTTGAGCATACACATATTAATTACATTAAGTCAGTAAAGAAGTCTATGCCTCGAATCATTGAATCCTACAGATAGCATTTCCAATTTTTGCGTAATTCAGTTGTTTATTGGAACTCTTTTAATGAAATATTTTCTTTTAAGAGCTACAATTGAAGGCAGTTATAATAATAAATTAAGTGTTGTGTGAACCATGTAATAAATATATAGTGCCATGTACAAATTGTACATGTGGAAGCACATGGAAGCAAGGTTTCAGTAGTGTTGAAGAACTGAGCTGTCACTATCTACATCTTGGTGAAGACCAATTGAAACATTTCTTTATTCAGAACATTGGTTAATTATTAGGCTACATGCATTGGTAAACAATTACATCTGGTTTATAATACCATCAATTTATGTTGACCGATAGTCTAGACTATTCCAAGCTAAGTGATTATATTTTACGAGGCACTAAAATTACATTCAGCCATCAGTCAATGTGCACCATGGCTAGGGCAATCATCACTATTCATATAATTATTTTATATAAAGTGATTTTTGTTGGAGCAGGGGCATTTTTTCGTTTGTATTTTATTGTGTTTTTTTTAAACATTTACTATGATTTCTGTGATGTATTTGCAAGAATAAACACACATATAATCTAAACAGTTAACAATTCAACAAAGCAAAGTCCATGAAATGAAATTTAAAAAAAATGTTCACCTACAGAACCCTTACCCACCCCCCTCCCAAAATAATATCACGGGACACCCCAATAAAAGATTATGCTTTTACAGTGATCCAGGTATATAGAAGTACCTCTGTAGATAGATGTCCAATGGAACCTTGTATTTACTTTTTCATGTAGAAATAAGGTAAATAATTATGGACTGTACAGCAGGAGTAATCCTGCAATGAAGCTTGTGTTGAGTTCCCAAGCTACATTTTTATAACCTTGCTACACATCTTATCATATATCAATTGTTTTATTTTTTAATATGTACATGTATGTACATGTAAGTTATATTAAAGATTGATAGTCTTGCCTTTGTCTGCAGGAAAACCCCACTGTAATGTTTATTGTTGAGCTATATTAAAATGTATATATATTGAATGATATAGATTCATGTACATTGAGATGTAATACCAGTATTTTCAAAAGTTACAGGTGAATCCATTTTGTTATCTGAGAGAGTTCCTACATGTACATGTATTGATGCTCCTAACTGTCTTACATGCCTTAACGTTCTTAAAGATATATGCATTGTGTAAGTAGTTCATGGATGTCGGTAGAAACTGACAGGATTTAATGTACCAGTAGCTCTGGATTTACCAAGGGGTTGGATTGAAGATATCTCTTTCATGGTTTTGTCGATTATAATACAATTTTGTATTTTGTTATTCAGAAAATAATATTTAGAATACTTTAAAATTGATACACATATAGCTGGCATAATCATACATGTAATTCAATACTTAATGGCATGGTCATTTTCCAATGTCAAGGTTATAGAACATTGAACATCTATATGTTATCGTTCTATTTCAAAAAGACTTTGGTGGTGTGGCAATCTCTCAAAATCTCAGGCTGGATCCACTAAATCTTTTTGTACTTTCACTAGAATTATTTAAGCTCACAATGTTGGGGTACATGTATAAGATTTAATCAAGTTGTCTGTTTAAAGGTATGGTTCTTTTAGGAGCTTAAATTATATGTAAGTTGTTTGCTATAAGCTCACATGGCCTGAAGGGGCCTGGAACAAAGGTCTTCTCCTTACATAGGAAAGAATGGAATTGGACATTGAGTATCCATTTGCTAAGAGAATTCAACTTTGTTCAAAGTTCTGGTTTCTCTAGTGGGAAGAGGGGTAATGTTAAAAGGCGGGAAATCTAGTGGTTAGTTCTCTTCAGTATTCATGAAGGATTTAACCTTATTGTTGTACTAATACCGGTAGTAACGGATTTTGGCCAAGATAATTCACTTTTTGTAAAAATAAGCGAAACCTGTATTACACTTAAATTAATACTGAATCATCATTCAATGAGCGTTCCTAAGTGTCCCATTACCTAGATATAGGCAACCAAAGGTTACTGCTCCTAACTGGTGAGAATTTTAATGAGCTAATCGGTCACGTGGTACCAAGGTCACTTAACCTTTCATGAATGAAATGGAAACCCCCATGGGTGCAGAAAAGTTTGGGCAAACAAGGAAAATAGGGGAAAATCTTCAAGTGGTGAGATAAATACAACTGATGAGATTTCAACACAAATTGGTACTATTTATAGTAGCCTAATCCAACATAATAGATTTAGCGTATGACACTACATGGTATAACAGCAGGGTCCAACGATGATAAATGTTTAAAAGTCTACTCTTCAAGTAAAAATAAAAGGATTTTAACCAAGTTTTTATGACATATCCTTAGGTCAACAGAGCTCCGGTAAAGCTACTCCAATGCTGCCCACTCCAGTGATGTCCTATACAAAGGAATGGTGTTTAGATTTATTTTTTACCATATGGTGTACTGTTTTATATATTGGGACTTATAATTTATTTCTTTGATATGCTCTTTATATTTTTCATGGCAAACCTATGCTAATCTTAAAATTAAGTACATTTTAAAGTGCTTTGAGATCTGTTATTGAAATATATGTTTAAGTATATTTTGAATTGCTTTTATATATATGTTATTGAAATATCTTTGTAAGACATCCTGTTCATGTTCACCAACAATTTAACATTTCATGAATTATGTGTTGTGTATACTCCATTAATATCAGTACTTTGTGCCATTTTTAGCTCACCTGGCCCGAAGGGCCAAGTGAGCTTATAGCATGGTGCGGCGTCCGTCCGTCGTCCGTCCGGCGTCAACTTTTTACTTTAAACAACTTCTTCTCAGTAACCAAAAGGCCTAGGGTGATGATATTTGGCCAGAAGCATGCTTTGATGAAGGGCTACCAAGTTTGTTCAAATAAATGACCTTCATCAATTTTCAAGGTCACATGGGTCAAATATGTTAAAATCTTTATACAACTTCTTCTGAATAACCAAGAGACATAGGGTGATGATATTTGGCCAGTAACATGCTGGGATGAAGGGCTACCAAGTTTGTTCAAATAAATGACCTTGACTTATATTCAAGGTCACAGAGGGCAAATATGTTTAAAACATTTAAACAAATTTTTCTGAATAACCAATAGGCCTAGGGTNATACACTTGCAGTGTAAAACATATAGGTTTGTATCACAAAACAATTCACTATCAATTTATCATTACCTGAATAATGTATCGTGTATACTCCATCAATATTTAGTATTATGTGCCATTTTTTTCCGATACTTGACATTGTAAAACATATACGTTTGCATCACAAAAGCAAACTGTCTAGTCTGCTGTGAGGCCTAGACTACATTGGTATGTGGGAATTATTAGACGAGTTCAAATTCCATTTCTACTTGTGTCTGCTTCAAAATAGGCTCTTAAGTTTTTAGCTCGCCTGTTCAAAGAACAGAGAGCTGTAGCGTTATAGCGTTATACCCCCAGTGTGAGCGTCAGCATGAAAATGTTAAAATTTTACCTGCAAGTTATTTAGAAGCTTGTCATTCATTAAATATGTGTACTAGGATGCTGATATTTAGCATGGAGGTTCCTGTGGGGTATAATATTGATATAGTGAAGTAAAAATTAACAAATAATTCACTCAAATTTTGATTTTTTTTTACCTGCTTTGTACTTTACATTTTTACCAAAAAACAAAAAAAAAACAGTTAAATTTTAAACAGGCGAGCGTTTGGTGGCTTTGACACCATCTCTGGTTGATTTGTGCCCTGACCATTTGGCTGTTCAATTATTTTTATGACTGCAATAGTATTCTAGGTGCAGTTCTGTCAAGAAGAAATATATTGTAATAATGCAATATATAGTTAGTATGAAAAACAATTTATCAATAATATTATTGGTAATTATATTTGGTGATAAACGTAAAATATACCTATTGTGTAACAAACATAAAATGTATCTATTGGGTAATTAGACAATATTACTGTACATACAATGTAAAAATATTTGGTAATTATACATACAATGTGTCAAAATTGGTGTTCAGTACTAGGTAATAAATAAACATATAATGTAACAAAAATATTTGATGTGGCAATCATACAATGTATACTATTATATAATTCTTTATTTGTTTAACGAGGATTACGAACAGCCCAAGGGCTAATAGTCGCTTATGCTGATGTACATGAAATGTATCAATATTCAGTAATTATACATACAATGTATTCATTTTGTGTGGTGATCATAAAATGTATTGATATTTGTTAACTTTAGATACAATGTATCAGTAAGTAGATATGTTTTACTTGATATACTTGTTATGGTTGGGGGTTTGACAGTATTCAGGGTCTATGTGCCAGTAGAGTTCTATATTAGCTTGTTCTGTTGTGCAGCACTGTTGTTTCTCTTCGGAATAGAGGTCCTGGTTGTATAAGGAATGTTTATGATATACTACAGCACAAGGCTGTACTCTATTAATTAGTGATGCTGAATATATTTACTTCAGAACCTGACTCATACTTTTTCTTGCCAGTGTATGTTTTAACATAATCACATTATTAAATATCATTTAATAATCGGATTTAGTTATTGATTGTTTAATTTTCTATGTAATGCCTAATAATGCCATCTTTAAGCAGTGATATTACAGCATTGTTTTCAAAAGAAAACATGCAATAGACTATTGACAAAAGAGCAGAGAATAACAGTCATATGGTATCACATTTGCCTCCCTCCAAACATTCTAAACTATATCAGACACGACAAAACAGGAACCAGCCCATCGTCAATATCACAGACAGTAGAGAGCACCACAAAACAGGAACCAGCACATTGTCAATATCACAGACAGTAGAGAACACGACAAAACAGGAACCAGCACATCGTCAATATCACAGAGAGTAGATAACAGGACAAAACAGGAACCAGCACATCGTCAATATCACAGACAGTAGAGAACACCACAAAACAGGAACCAGTACATCGTCAATATCACAGAGAGTAGAGAACACGACAAAACAGGATCCAGTACATCGTCAATATCACAGACAGTAGAGAGCACGACAAAACAGGAACCAGCACATCATCATTATCACAGACAGAGGAGAACAGGACAAAACAGGAACCAGCATATCGTCAATATCACAGACAGTATAGAGAACACGACAAAACAGGAACCAGTACATCGTCAATATCCCAGAGAGTAGAGAACACGACAAAACAGGAACCAGTACATCGTCAATATCACAGAGAGTAGAGAACACGCCAAAACAGGATCCAGTACATCGTCAATATCGCAGACAGTAGAGAGCACGACAAAACCGGAACCAGCACATCGTCAATATCACAGTTAGTGGATATAACGACAAAACAGGAACCAGCACATCATCATTATCACAGACAGAGGAGAACAGGACAAAACAGGAACCAGCACATCGTCAATATCTCAGACAGTAGAGAACACCACAAAACAGGAACCAATACATCGTCAATATCACAGAGAGTAGAGAACAGGACAAAACAGGAATCAGCACATCGTAAATATCACAGAGAGTAGAGAACACGTCAAAACAGGATCCAGTACATCGTCAATATCACAGCCAGTAGAGAGCACGACAAAACAGGAACCAGCAAATCGTCAATATCACAGACAGTAGAGAACAGGACAAAAAAGGAACCAGCACATCGACAATATCACAGAGAGTAGAGAACACGCCAAAACAGGATCCAGTACATCGTCAATATCGCAGACAGTAGAGAGCACGACAAAACCGGAACCAGCACATCGTCAATATCACATACAGTAGAGAGCACGACAAAACAGGGACCAGCACATCGTCATTATCACAGATAGTAGAGAACAGGACAAAACAGGAACCAGCATATCGTCAATATCACAGACAGTATAGAGAACACGACAAAACAGGAACCAGCAAATCGTCAATATCACAGACAGTAGAGAACACCACAAAACAGGATCCAGTACATCGTCAATATCACAGACAGTGGAGAACACGACAAAACAGGAACCAGCACATCGTCAATATCACATTTTTAGGGATTTTGGGGTACGTGCAAGCTCCCGAATCCCTTCAGAAGGGTTTTGCGCCTTCAGTCCGAGCAGTGCATAGACGCAATTTTAAAACCCGTGATCACTAGTACTCCCTTTTTAAAATTCCTTAATCCGCTCTCGGTAAGCTTTTATCGGAAACCGAAGCAGGTTAATATATCATGATTAAGCCCGTTTCCCTATTTGTCGGTTAAACGATCCGGTTTTGATACTATCACGTTTGTAATACAGATCCACTCATACTAAAATACGTGACGTTAGAAGAAAACAAAATAACAGTCGTTTTTCATCATTATTACAACGAAAATTAAGTCGGATTAACCTTTTTTTTTAAACTTTGCTGACATTAATCATTTAAGTTAATTTTCAGTAACATCGGTCAGTATACCGTATCTCATAGGGGAGACAAGCTAGGGTAAGTTCGGCCAGAAACGTTACTGACCTTTATACGTCTCCGGTTCGGCCACTCCTGATATTTTTGGTCAGGAGTAAATATGTTCAATTTTGAGAATCTTAGCGATTTACTTGACTAGACGGATCATTTATACGGAAAAAGTGTGGGAAACTGTATTATAAAAATACTGAAAGGGGAAAAGTTACTTTAAGGAGAATAGAAAGAAAACTACATTTTACTCG